TTGCTATAAATCTAATCTTAAATGTCTCAATTTCTTAGGAAAAATGACAGAGATGTTGTCATCTTCACTCAACAGGTAGACATGCAAGACACTTACTGCTGTTTCTAAAAATGTTCATAATCTTTTGTATTTTTTTAAATTAAGTGTGGATTCCTCGCTGTAATGCTTTGGGCCGCCAAAACCCAAGCCACATATTTTCTATTATTTTTCATCCTTCCAGGAATTTAGAATTAAAAGTTTTACGTGGCTAGGTCACATACCTTTATTGGTAAATACAAGCACAAGATACCAAACGTTGCCTTGAAGTGATATTAAAAAACATCACAAAAATACAAGTTGCTGCACAGAAAGAAACCACAACTCTAAACTCTGTCTGCAGCGTAGGTCAACCATAAGGAGCCTGTTCAGTCAGACATACTGTGCAGCATGTCTTTAGTCATCCGAACAAATAGGATTTACCTTTGGATACACAAAACAATCAGGATCAATTAAGTGTCTAAAGCAAGCCTTTGATTATACCTCATGGCAATGGCAAATCACAGAGAGCAAGCTAAAAGCCTTCATAAAACCTATTAGATCCTCGCTGCATAAGAGGATCCAAATAAGTTATTCTAAGGCTTCAGAATGGAGGATGAAAGTAGGGACAAACAAAAGTGAATTGATTAAAAGAGAGCTCAAATAAAAGGACTGCGAAATCAATTACATTCCATGTTTTTCACTGTGCTCTTTAGCATTTATGAAGATATCTTGTGCGAATAACTTTCAAGGCCAAACTTCAGCCAGGGGCTTATTCAGGAATGTCATATTATTTGATCTGAAATATGGCTTTTCTCTAGTGCACTACTTTCACTAAATCTATTCTGTTTCTTATCTTAAACCTTTTCCCTTTGTCCCCATCATGTCATGTATTTTGGCCTTGCTCATACAGTAATGTGTTCTTTAGCCACGTGCCCTACATCATTTTCTCTTTCCTATCTCTCTTATATCTCATATATGTTAGAGGTAATGAAAGTAAAAGGCAGTTTGCCGGGAGCCTGAGTAATTATCATTACTGCCGTTGTCAGATAAAAGAGTGCCATCAAAGGAGACGTGGAGAACACTATTGACATGCATAGCTACATTCGCTGTTGTTTTCAATCTGAAAGCTTCCATCTCAATAAGGAGCTTATTCATCCAATGGCAAGGCAAGTACATTCGGACATAAATCTTTTAAGTGGAGGTCTGAAACAACCTGGCATGCAGCTAGCACTCTCCATGCATGAGGGGAACAATGAATGTCACGCTAGGAGCTTGATTCGTAATTCTTCAATGAGATATTAAGGATATATGTCACTAAAGCCTATGATTATTATTATATGAAGTGCCTGCACAGAGCCAGAAGGACACTAAAAGACAGCACCCACCCCAGCTGCAGCCTGTTCCCTGCTGCCATCTGGAAAAAAGGTATAGAAATTTCCATTGCTGTACCTGACATAAAGACAGCTTCTTCCCTCCGGCTGTGAGACTTCAATTCTTTCTCAAAAATAATTTTTTCAGTATTTTTATGACTCACTAATCAAATCAATCAATTTTCTTGTAGCATAAAGGGAACTATAGCTAAAATTGAAAATGAATAATTATTTTAAACAAATATCAAATCAGTCTAAGGGCAATATTTCCATCACTGTGTGGGTGTCTCCAACTGCACTTGCCACTTTGGTTCATGTATGTGCAGCTCGCAAAGGGCATCAGGGCTGGATGAAGTGGAATATAGATCCGAAAGTGTGGTGATTAATGAATACACTCTCAGTTTCTGTCTCTCATACATTATATCGTAACACAGCACACACACACAGACACACACACACTCAACAGTGTTTGCACTATTTATGCATCTCAAGGACAAAACACTACTGCTAACTAGATGGTTTCAAAGGAAGAAATGACACGCAGGACTGATGAGCTGCTTTAAACCAACATTATGCAACTATTTTACCTTAAAATAACAGTTTTAGTGAGTCTTTCATTTTCACTCTGCTCCCAGAATTCCTGTTCTTGCACTATGCAACTCTGCTGCAAGAAGTGTGTTAGCATTACGGTGCTACGTCACACACCACCAACTATGGGGAAGAAGATGCTAGCTCCGTATTCTCAGTGCATGTCTATTGTTTTTTCAACCTATTCCACATCATGCTGGTGCCATGAAGTGCTACAGTAGCTTGGAAAATCGTGATATAAAGCACTGAATTTGATGAATGTATTGTTTATCAGACCACAAATGAGACGTAGGTTGGAGAAGAAGCTGCTGGAGTGGAGTGTTTCTGAGGGCTGAGCCTCACTCATCCCTGTGCAAACACATCTTTATAACTTTATTTACAGATTTTGGTGAAACTGGATAATTTATAGAGAAAATAACTGGGATTTGCCTTTCTTTAGCAAATTAGCTCATTTAGCCGTGCAGCTAGCGGCCCTGACTCTGGCCAGACTAGCACAGGAGATTTGGACCGCTTGGAGGATTGTCATATAGCCAGACCCAAACTGAACTCATGGATAGATCAGTTGTGTTGCAGTGTATTCTGTCACTGACTTCACACAATAAGTTCTTCTACAGTAGCACAATGTAATGCACCTCACTGTAACCTCAAAGCCAAGTTTTCAGCAGATAGACAGTACACAGTGACTGATGACAGTACATTGCAATAGTACCAACACTGTATGTTTCCTGTGGAGAGACTGGCTCATTGCAGAAGAAAACAGGATTATATATAGGTTATATAAACATATACAGCTGCCAACCTGAAGTGAAAACTGCGTTAAAGAAAAACGTGAATATGAAATTTATAAAAGCAGGTATAGACTACATTACAACATTACAGTTGCATTGAAAAAGTAATAACTAAAATATTAGAAATACTCCTTACAGTCAACATTCCAGCGGATGTTCCTGGTGGAGAGTTTAAGTGAGTCATTGATCCGTTCCAAAACAGTCTGCAGCTTCTGTTTCTGGGCGATCTCTGACTGGGTCACCTCTGCCACGTTCAGTTTCTCACCTTCCAGCTTTTCTGAAGCACAGGACACAGGCAGAGACACAGACAAATGAATATTGATAAGCTCAATATCTGTATAATACAACAAATACAATTTTTCCATCAGAACTGAAACCATCAATTCAACACAGATTTAATGTCAAGATAATTTAGGCAAAGGCACCTTTTGATTACAATTACTCACCTCTTTGTAAAATTATGATATATAATGCAAAGTTTAATTTCCTGTCTCAGTGGCATTTTATCCACATGTATGGGTCCAACTCCTTACCAAATAGTTTCTGCAGGACCTGCCCATCATACAGATCTTCAGCCAGATCCTTCACAATGATCCTCTCCCCCACAAGAACATCATTTATCCAGTCAATCAACACCTACATGGGCAGAATAAAAGACAAATTACTCATATATTTTGAAAGTTTTGTTGGTATTTAATGATATTGTAGAAGGAATTTCTTAAGTAATTCTTTCGATGTGCAGGTTACATACTGAAACCACATAAAAGTTAGCAAATGTAGCTGTAGATTTACTTATATGGTCTGTACTGACCACCTGGTTTTATTTTTAGGGCTGTTTTTTGCAAATGTCCTCAGGCTTGGTCGAGCAGCATGCCCAAGAACTGCTAGTTTCAAGTCATTTCACAGATTTTCAGTGGAATTTGAGTTTTGGGGTTCTGGGTCACTCAAGGATTTTGTGACTTTTTTGAAGTCAGACCAGTGTTGATTAGGAATATGCTGAGGAAAGCTGTCCTGCAGGAACATAAATCGTTTCCCCAATCTGAGGCCTTTGGTAGCTTAACAAAAGTTCTCCTTAAGAATTTGCCTGTTTGACTCCAGTGATTGCTTGCCAATCCTCACGTGTGTGCTTGTCCCTGCAGCTGATGCGTGCTCCATGGCACCATGCTGCCACCCCAGGTTTTAAAGTATGGATGGAGTGATATGTGTGATAAGCTGTGCTTGATTACTCACAAAACCTAAATGCGAACACTGAGCCGTACCTTCACACTAAATTATTAGCTCTTTATTTTTTACTGACTTTGTTGTAAGTTATTAGGAGACACAGCACTATACAACTCTATATGACCGTATAGCCAAGGTAAATCATTTAAATCATTAAAACCTTACCTTCATGAGCTCCTGCAGTTTGCGGTCATTCTTGGAGTTGGGGTCCACCATGGTGCGCACTTCATTCTCCTCTAATGGATGAGCAGAAACAGGGTATTAGAGCTGAGGATGAACATTTTATTCTAAACCGAGGAAGAATAGCATAATGGTTTAATACAGTCTAGCACCAATCTGTGTCTTGGCACACATGGAACTCAAAATCAAAAGCGAGTTCCCCCCGGAAAGCTTTGGCAGTGTGTCGGTTTGTTGACTGCTGGCTAAAAGGTGTTTGTCAGATTAGCCGAGCTCATAGTGCTACAGCAGACAACATACTGCCAGAAGCCAGAGCTGGAAGAGCCACTCCTGTTTGAGCACATTAAGGTCACAGCATGCCTACTGCACCTGTCCACACTCTATATCTTCAGATGACTCATGTGTGCACTGTCCACAACCTTCGTTGAGCACACAATGCTGTACTCTCAAAAATATGGGAGTTGCTATTTCACTCCAACACTCTAGTTGGCGCTGCTGACAAATCTGCAGCAAGCTCATATAGGTTACATACATATATGTATGGCCAGTGTGTTTTACTGAAGGAGCAAATAACTGTGAAATATAATCCAAATACCAGTTCTATTGTTTATAGAAGGAATTAATGAGAATAACTAAATAGAAAAAATAGAAAGAATATTGCCACATGACCTTTAAGCAAAAGTGTGTTACAGAAACTGTGAGTAAGGCTGCTTACCTAGCATGGTGTCCTCAGGGTCCAGCTCATAGTGGGAAGGGCTGAGAGGAAGGTTGATGGCATTTATCCCCTCTTCCTGAAGCTCAGACACTGCGAGGAAGAGGTACAAACATGTCAGGCACGCCATGAGGACACTCCTGGAAATGTTGTTGACCTTTCCTGTCAGGTTCAACTTCTTCTCTTTGTATTATAAATGCAAATGCATAACCAACTTTTCAAATCACAAGACTGACATTATTCCAGATTTTTCTTATTGTCAAAAAAATCCCATACATACAAACAATACATTAACCTGTCACTTATATTTGTCTGACTCCCCTACCCTGTGTGTGGCACGCAGCCCCAAACACATTCTTTTCTACTGAATTAAAATAATTAGAGTCACTAATATATATTTCATTTTTAAAAACACCAGGTGGTTTAATAAAGTGGGGCACGTAAATAGTAGATAGCGTTTTTTGGGGGGACTATTTTCAACTGAGGATTAACACACATTTGGTGCTCTAGTGAGTATTTATTGCAGCAGGACTGTGTGTGTGGGATCCACTCAAAATAAAATAATACAATGCCTATTCACTGCAATTAGGGTTGCAACTTACCATTATTTTTTATCAGCAATGTGTCAAGTAATCATAGTTTTTTTTAAAAGGCCACCACAATTTCCTAGAGCCCAAAATTACACCTTAATATTGCTTGTTGCACTCAACCAACCGTCCAAAATCCAATGATATTCAGTGTAGAACAATATCCAATTTGAGAAGCTGATGAATGACCCAAATGATTGACGGCTTATTTACATAGCACAAAATAAAAGCAAAAACACAAGTAAAGCAACCAAATTTCACCACGTTCACTTGCCAACCACGAGCTAAACGTGGCCAAACGTAGCCAGAACAAGTCTGTACGACACGTCTCCCTCTGAAGCCTCTTAAAATGCCAATCAATCGGATAACTGCTACATGAAGGGCAGATCAGCTGAGACAAAGACAGAACACCTTCCTGAGTAATAACCACTTGCAGTGTTCAGCAGTAGTTTGGACGACTCCCTAAATGTTCCCTTGATTCCACAAACAACCATTAGCAGACCCTCCGTCGAGAGGCATTTGACGTCAGACAAACACAGACCGCTGTTGCTTCCTGCTTGTCAGCGGGCTTTATAGAAGCCCAGCATGCCATTCTTCTCAGTGTGTCAGATACCTGAGGAGGCTTGATCACTGCTGAGCTGTGTGTGTGTGTGTGTGTGTGTGTGTGTGTGTGCGCTGAAAGCATGGAGTGAACATCCTGTGCATTTCTCTGCCTTCACTGGAACAATATCCTCTTAATCAACACCATCCACAAGTGCTTGCATGTACAGATACACAGGCACATACATATCACATCACAGAGGCGTGTGAGAATATTCCTACAGAGTGACATGTGCCTCACTCCTTTCATCCTGTGTGTGACCCCCCAACCAGACACATCCACCACTACTCCTACCTACTACATACAATACTAGTTCTACTCAAGTACATGACAGCTCTTAACTTTCCTTTTACTAACAATAAAAGGACACACACCTTCAGCTGTTGAAGTGCATGACGACAAAATCTTGTTGTCTGTGTGTGGCAGAATATGACCGTGGGGACTATTTTCACAGAATGAAAGCATCAAATATCAACAGTGAGTACAGTTAATATTCAAGTGCCATGACTTTCCACTTGTTTTACTGTAGAAATCAATTAAACCACAAGCAGGCAGAAAAGTCCACTTAACAGTCATCCCATAGTACCTTAAATACAAATGCTTGCCGTATAGAAAAGTGTTAGTCTGTGCAAACCACACCATGAACCTTAAACCCCATTAAAATGTCTTGACAGGATCTTGCATGATTAGTAAAATTAAAGACAAAACTGAAAGAACAGCTGACTAAAACCTTCAGATGAAGTATGCATGAATGTGCTACTTATTTAAGTCTTAATTTGAATGTAAATTGAGACTATATCATTTCTGAGAGAAAACAAATAGCATATTCTTCCTCTTACAAATGAAAAGTTAAGCTTACATGTTGAATAAGCTATATGACACCTTTGTTCTGCTCAATACACTCGGGTTTTACTGCTACAGCCTTACCTGACCTGTTGTGGCTAATGTTAGCAAATGTTAGCAAATTTTAGGCAGATATTGGCGTGTAACTGATCGTTTTACCATGTCACAGGTAAACATGTCAATAAACAAAGAGTGTTTACTTCTTGTTTTACTTTTGATTATTTTAAAATATTAATCATGCTAAAATAAGTGTGGCAGTAGTGCAAGTAAAGAAGGAATGTACTGTCTCCAAACTGACACTAAAGCAATATTTATGTAGAATCTGTAACATTAGCTATTCGCCATCATAAGAAACTGGTCATATAGATTCAAATTGACGTTGTTGGGCCCCAAATTCTAACCAAGAATCACTGATATCAGATTGGTATGATGGGGCCTCAGACTCAAACTGGCCCCTGTTGGTATTGTCATCTCATAGGAGGGCCACTTCACTGCTCAAATACTAAAAGAAAGGGTAATATTTTTGAATTTGCATTACTAACATGATACTAAAGAAGTGCAGCAGTTTCCAGACATTTTTATATCATCTCTGTATAGCAGCCCAGCAACAACGGAAGGCACAAAACCTGCTCTCTTCTCATTAACCCTTTGAATACATTTGCCATTAAAATTCTCTTTTTATTTTAATTGTATATGTAGTAGGTAGTTTAAATTGATATGAAACAATGTGGAGGGTCGGAGGGAAGGGGCAGGAAATTCCCCTTTGGGGGCCGGCAGTTTGAGATCTCTGGTTTAAATAAATTGAAGAAGGAATTTAAACTTGGAAACAACTATCTATTTATATTTATATTTATATTTACATTTACAAGTCCCAGATTATTATGTGAAGGAAAGAAAAATTGAGCAAATACAAAGACTAATTCAAGAATCAATTAGCTCTAACAGGGTTTACAGATCCATAAAGAATACACTGATTCATTCTATGTAACGCAGCACGCACCTTTAAATTCTTGGAAATGGATCAAATTTGGTTAGAAAAATGTGTTTTTCCTCACACCTCACATTAAACATAAACAACTCTGTACAGCAGGGTTGCACATTACACTGCACAGGCACATAAATGCCAATCACTCCCACAGCTTCTGGTCACGGGAACATATTTCTGGGAGAATATATGCTTAACCTTTGGAGTCATCTTGGGTTATGAGACACCTCAGGACAGCTAGATACCGCTTTGTGGACAGACGAAAACATGGATTGCTGTTTCAGTCGAATGTGTGCATTAAGGGGAGTTCAAAAACATTTATAGCTGCTGTCAGTGGCTGGGAATTTACACTCATGTGGGGGTATGGCTGCTATATAAAAACACCATACCAATTAGCACACTCTGTTACTGTAATTATCACTTGTGCTATTTGAGGATGAGGAAGTATATAGAAGCTTAGGTTTATATGAAGGTGAGATGACCACGGTATTACTTCAGTCTTCTCACTTACCAGCTGTGCTTCCATACTGGTCTGCTAGGAGTTTTTTCCCCAATGTTAAAGACCACTTGCTCACTTCTATTAACACACTGTATATGTTCAGTGCACATCTGATTTGCCGTCAGTATTAGCAGAGGCGTCCTCAGTATCCTCACTCCTCCCCATCCGGCCCAGTGTCATAAAACCACTATATGTTTCCATCCACTTGGTTAAATAAGGATAACAATAAAAAAGCCACGTCGACATCCCTACGTGTGAGGAAAGAATTCATGCTGATGTTGTGTCCTACCTGGAGGGCAGAGCGCTCCACAGCCCATGTCTGTCTGTCTGTCTCCGTCCCCCAGTCTCAAGCATCCTCTCCTGGCTAGCAGGACCAGCTCTCTCCCGTGCAGCTCATCCTCCACAGGCTGAGCTCACACGGCTCTAATGCAACACCTGACCCCCCCCCCTCTATAAATTTGCTCTTTTTTCACAGAGGAATGGAATTACATATTACCTCTCCTGTTTTATGTGCTGTATTATCAGTTTGCACTATATCCAAGCTGCACACAGTTGGTGTCCGCCTGTACGCAACGCACAGCCCTCGCTAATGCTCTCAAACCCTCTGACCTTCTCTCCTCTTTTCATCCCATCTCATCCCCATGCTACAGCCCTCTTGCTCGTCCTTTACCCCCTTCTCCTGTTTTCTTTTTCATCCTGTCGTTACTCCCGTTGGAGCCGGCGGCCCCTCTCTCCCCGGCACACGCAGCCACTGCCATAAACGTCACAGGGACTTAAATTTAATCAATGATCAACACAAGAGCGACCAGCCCACGTTTTCCATCAAATCATGGAAGACACTGCAGACATCCTGCACTGTGTTGGTGTGTGTGTGTGTGTGTGGTGAACAGGAGCCAGCATGAATATAATGTGATTGCATGCATGTCTTGTAGACAAAGGCAACATAAAGTGGGGCTCAGCTGTGCAACAGTATCCTGAATGACACAAAGTAATCATCCAATTGAAGGAGACCTTTCTCATTGATGATAAAACCTGGCCTGTAACAATGAATGTCAAGCTCTCTGAAGCCTGCACTGTATTTGCACAGCTATAAACTGAGCAGGGCATTTAAAAAAGAGTTTTTGGAGTATTCTTATTTATTGGTAGTTAAAGCCCAACACAGCGAGGTTTATAGCTATTATCAAGGAAGGTGAGATGAACCCAGAGCTGCTGTCCTGTGTCTGACCTCAGCCTGAGGAACAGCACCCTGTTCCCACAGCACCCACGGGCCGAGGCTCGCTCTGTGACGGGCCTGTGTTTACTCGTGCCTCATTCCTCACGTATTACAGTAGTAGCGGATTCAATACCTTACATGGATGCAGACACAGCCCGCGGCCATGAAAACACACACAAGCAACCACACGTTGTAATCTCTGCTGTTTCTTGGTGATAAATGTACATTCAGAGCGGAATTCAAAGGATAATCAGAGTTAAAGCTCCCTGAAATGTAACGTTAGGTGCGTAGTAATGTTGAGGGTGTTATTCCCACACTGCGGGGCTGGCTAATGCTATGTTATGATGTAAATATGTTTAGAAGTCAATCATTTAATGTGCACTTCTAAAAACAATATAATACAACGAGTTGACTGCGGTCCTGCTCGTTTCTGGCTCGTTATTTCGCTAGCTGTTTACCTTCTTTAGCCTTTTTCCTTCTTGCCAAAGTTCCACCAAGTTTTCCCAGGAAAGAGTCATCTTTCTTTCTGGAAGACGGGGATTTGGGCGTCGGAGATTTCGGAGAGGACGGAGACTTCTGAGGCGAAGAACGTAACGATAATTTAATCCGGGGCAGTTCACATCAAACTGCGATTGACGTTGGAAATGAAAGTTGTTGGGAAGTAAGTAAAAAAAAAAAAAATCACCGTCCACTCCCTAAAGCGGAAACGGAATTCCAGACATTTTCTCCCGAAGTTGGCTGGAGTGAGTGAGTGGCCCCTCCTCTGCGGAGGAGGGCTGGGAGACCGCGGGGAGTGGAGCTCCACGGTGGTCGGTCAGCTACAGGGCTACCCGGAGCGGAGGGGCCCCCAGAAGTGGAAATAAAGATATGAAGTACACCACAAGAGGCCGTGCTTCGCAAAGGGTTTCTGACAGCTTCACGTTACATTGGTGACACACTATTGGGAAATGACTTAGCACTTTATTTTTCTCTGGGGAAACTTTTACTGCTCTTCAGGGGTTGATATAACATTAGCTAAATGTTGTGAGAATAATAAATACATACAATAAATAATGTGGGTGTGGGTGTATATATATATATATATATATATACACGTCGCCATTATAACAGTACTCACAAATTTAAATTCATTTTTATTAAAGATTTTTTGCCATTTAAAAGACTTGAAGCAGCATAAAACGAAAACATACAGAAACAGTTTACATTTTTTATCATGAAGACATAACTTATTCAGAATTTAGTGTTTGTTAATTTACAACATAAACAAAGGTAACATAGAAAGCCCAGGGACCAAATGAGAAGTGCAGTTCCTTGACCTGGGATTAAAATTCATGTAAACACGTTATTCATCTTCTTCGGTCATTTTGACTCACAGCCCACACACTGGGTTAAAACCAGCAAAACGAAACAATCACAGTTCAACTGACAGCAGTTAGTAAATCAATTATTAATTAGAAAGAGCAGAAAACTTCCTTATTGCATTAAAACACTGAAGCATCTTGCACCTCTGACCACGCCCCAATTAATGATGTCACAGAAGGTGGTTTTCATTAACAGCTAATGAAAGACAAGGGTTGACATCACTGACTGGGGTGTGGCCAGATGTGCAACAGGCATACAAGTTTCAGCCTGTGCAGATTCAGTTTTCTGCCCTGTGATTCAGGCAACTTGTGTCACAGAGGATTAAAAAGGTGACATTTTCAGCCGCCTGGCAGAGGTACATCTTATCAGCTGACTACAAATATGTGGCAGTAAGGAAGCTACAGTATTTGTCCTGTGTTCATTGGTGTCTGGGTGTTAATACATTTCATTTATTTGAGTTTTCCAGTACAAAGTGAAAAAATAACATTTAAATATGCACAGAAGAGCGTACACACACACTTAGCTACAAAGTGACTAACAGTGAATTACATAAAGCACATCTCTGGATTTATGACGCAAATTTAAAACAAATTACGCATTGCAAAACACTAAAACTTCAGGGACAGTGTTGAGTCGGTCCATGTGCTATCCAGTGAGGCTATACAGTGTCAGAATAATAACAAATCTGTCACAACAATTCCACTCTTAAAGCAAGCAACTATGTAAAGCAGCTGTTGATTAGGCAGTCAGTTTGGTTTATGAGGTTTGCCAAAATATTACAAGGCAGTCACATTATTAGAAGTGGTAAAGCATATTGTGCATCCAGTTTCAGGTCAGTGTCAGCCTGGGCTATGACAGATTACACTTCTGAGCACAGAGGTCAAATAACCTTAATGGCAGAGACGTTAATGGCTGTGAAGGAAGTCATTAGCTCAGGCTCCATTTCCAGTCTTTCTCCGTCTCTGAGCTCAGCATACCAGCACAAAGTGAGACAGGATGAAGCCTCGCTGTATTCTTTGGGGTGAATAACATTTCCATCCTCATTACATTTGCAAACAATTTTTTATTTATTTCACCAGTTCCGTTTCTTTAAAAAAGTGTTAGTGTGGTAGAGCCTTGCAGTACCTTTCTACCCTTTACTATCCACCCTGCTCTTCACAAATGAGGTGCTCAACATTCAACCTTCACTCCAGCTTCTCCTGCCCCCAGCTGTCATCGGCCTGGGCCCAGTGAAACTCGTAGCCCTTGGACAGCACAAGGCTCTCCAGGTCCCTGTCCTCAGCCCTCTCCTTCAGCCTCTGCTCCTCCAGGAAAGAGACCAGCATGTCTCGTTTCTCCACCGTCCTCATGATCTCTGACAGGATCTCCTGCTCCTCCTGCAGCTCAGAGGCGCTCTTATCTGTATCTGGGGTGATTTGGAAGAGAGCAGAGGAAGGTACTTAGAAATGTATGTACTATTATATCAGATAATATCAGATTGTGTGTTTGTGTGTGTGTTCAACTTTTACCTTCTGTTGCCATTCTCTGTCGTAGATCTTGCTGCAGTCGGCTCTGTGTGTCCTCCAGTTCAAGCTCCTGAGCACTAAGAGAGAGGAGACAATCAACAATATTAACAGAAGTTATGTTTTCTCATACAAGTCTTCAATCCATGTGTGATCCTGATGCGGCCACTTACAAGATCATGAGTTCCGACTCATAGCGCGCCAGTCTGTTCTTCTCCAGAACGAGTTTAAACCAGGACTGATAGAGCTCGGCCTCGTCATCTGTCTGAGATAATTCTGGGAGCGGAAGAGCGAGGTAGCAAAGACGGAACAAAGGAAGGCAGGTAGGAGAAAAGAACAAAGGAGAGAGGGTGGACGCGGAGGCAGGATGGAAGAAGAAAGAGAAAAATATTTCAGAATTTTACATCAATTATGTAACGCCATTACAAGAAAAGAAGAAAACATACTGGAATCAAACCTCAACCAGACACACACAGACACACACACACACACACACACCACACAGGCCTGCTTCAAGACCTGAACAAGGCCTTCACTATTCACTAGGACACAAACAAAGCCCTGTACTGTAAAAAGATGAAGCAACAATGAAGTCTCACTGTCTATTGTGAGTACAGCCATTAACCGTATGTAGAGGCTTTTAACCAGATCGGGATTACAAGGCAGTGCTTTTTCTAAATGGAGAAGTATGGGCACAGCAATTTCAAAAAAAAAGGAGGAGGCTTTTATAGTGGAATTCCATTGAGCTGCATTGTAGTCTTACCATTGAACCAAGGTGTTGTGGTTCAGAGGTCTGTCATTAAAAGTAGCTTTGTAATATCTTGTTCAGGCTAAATTAACTTTGTAAGGCATGGTGAGTTTGTGTGTGTGTGTGTGTAAGTAACAATAAACAGTACCTGTTTCTCCTCTTATAATCTTTTCTATAGCCACTCCTCTCTCCTCTAGATCTCTCTGTTTCTCTGCAACTTCCTCCAGTTGTCTCTGGATGGCCTGGCGATGCAAAAATGAGACATTATTAAATCGACACACGTGATCAAAGGGGATTTTCATTCTTTCTCTTGAGATCTCTGCCTCCATCTCTATGCCATGTAGGTGAAAGGAATTTACTTTGTGGTGCTGACAAGAAAATCCACCGCAATATCTCTCTCTCCTGAAAGTGTTATTCTAGATAATCCACCATCAACAGTTTCTGTTGCTAGAAATATTTCTTTGCTAGAAAGAAGTTGATGTGAATTAATTATTCAAAGTAGGATGTCACTGCTGTGAGCACTGCAAAAAATATTCCATTCACCTTCATTGTATTGGGGTCGTGGCATAGATCCCAGAGACAGATATCGCAAAAGCTGCACGATACACAAAACTGTCTGCATGGCTGGATTCTACCCAGGTTAAAGAATTAGTTTAACATTATTGGTAAATAATCTGATTCACTCTCTTGCCATGGGTTAGATAAAAAGATCAATACCACTGTCTGTATGTTTAGTGTTATGCTAGAGGCAGCAGCCAGGTAGCTTAGCTTAGCTTAGCTTAAAGGCTGGAAATCAAGTGAATCTTAAAAGGAAAGAATAGTACCTGGGCTCTGTGAAGCCTCTTCAGCTCTTCTCTTTTAGCCTGCTGGGCCACCGTCTTCTCCTGCTTCCTCCTCTGTCTCTCTGGACACAGCTGGAACAGGAAGCACAGAACATTTCAGAGAATGAACACAAATACAGTGCATTCAACACTTTCCTTTCAGCGCGGAGGAACTGTTTGTACAAACCTTCTGATTGGATGTTAGGTTTTCATTTTCATTGTCACTAGAGGAAGACTCTTCCAAATTCTGTTGACGGGAGGCTGGATAAAAATAAAATAAGTAAAAAAAATGAGAACAGGCAAGTCACAGATTTTTTTTGCATTTGTAAAATGTGGTTTTTAAATGCGCTTTATAAATAAATAAATAATTTTGATTTGTGCTTTGATATGACAGCTTCAAAAAAAAGTCATATAAGAGAAGGACCTTGAACAAATAAATTTTTTTATGTTTAACCGCTATCGCTTCTCAATTGAAGCCACTAAACCAGTGATATATCTGATAGCAAATAAGACATTTGTTAATTATGTTTGCAGGCTTTTGTGTAATCTATGCTTTTTATTGTGTATTACTGGACAGTTGCACTTTCAGGGCTTTGAAAATTATTATCATTAATCATGCAGGTTTAAAGTATTGTGTGCCAGAGAGAATGGCTGCACTAACCTTTGTTTCTGAGGTTGGTGAGTATGGTCCTGATTTCCTTTTGCACCTCCTGGTCCTGCCTCTCGCTCTCTGAATCCTCTCTCTTCCTCAGCCTCAGGGACGAGAACAAGTTGACCCTCCTGCGGGGCACTGGGGCCATGTCGTCAGAGAACACCCCACCGGAGTCTCTACGGCCCTTGAGGGACACCTGCTGCAGCAGAGAGGGCAGGTCTCTCCCGCCCCCCCACGGATCGGCCCCTAGAGATGCCAATCGTGCCTCGCGCTTGACGGGCTTCTTCTCTTCTCCGGATGGCTCTGGACCCACGGTACCAAAGAGGGCGCTAAAGTTGAACGTCCCCTCTGACATGGGCCTCTGCTTGTGGGGGCTGTCGCGTTTGGTCCTCCTGGTAAAGCAAAAGATGATATAAAACAAAACTTAGGTATGTTTTCATTTGAATTCAATCCAGTTAACGTGGCACCTAACTAAAGTATCAGCAAAGCATTTTATACAAACATTGTGACTGCAGTGTTGGAGCTGCTGGAGGGATTGGTCACACTAAATTTCCTCTTGAAGGCGTTGGCTAAAAGCTGGAAGGCTGAGGGGGACGAGGCCGAGGTTTGGCTCTGGGATGGTTCCTCGTCCTGGCCCGAGTCTGTCTGAGGCTTATCTGCTTCTGTCTCTGCTTGTACCTGATAAAACATCAGAGGACAGGAAAAATGTGGTCAACATAATGTGGAATTAACTCCTCTTATCTCACACACATCACTGTCTTTGGCCTGCTGCATTATACTGTAGAAGGAAGGAGCATAAAGAGATAAGGAGCAGAAATACACTTCATGTGCAGGCATATTCTTTCCTAGAACAACTGATAGTGCTGCCTTAATAAATGACTGACTCCACCTGGGCTTTATGTTGATGTGTGTTTTCGGTGTTAATCAGAGTTTCCTCTGGTGTGATGAGTGTGTCCCAGTTCAGAAGCTTCTCTTTCTCAGAAAGAGATAACATCAAGCGTTTCTTCGGGGTAGACAAGTCGCAGACCGTCTTTACTGTAGCTGAGCACTCTTCTCTCTTCTCACTTCCCTCTGAGGGATTCTGGGTATGTGCTGGTGTCTTGGAACTGCCCTCAGAGTTCTGAGAAAACATAGAATTCAAAACAGGTACAGGCAGTACGTTGTCAATGCATTACACAGAGCTCTTACTCTAGTTATATAATTCTCAATCATAAGTCCTAAAACTACATGCACACAGTATGTGGTGTGTATCCAAAAAATCTAGAATAAATTTCACGTGACACACAGTTTGTTTTTCTGCTGAAGTGATCTCCTCAAAGTCAGAGTCAGCTTCGGGGACGGTCTCTGGTCCCTCTTTGTCCACCGGCCAGCTCCTCTGGAAGTGCTTGATGAATATCAGAGGGAAGGCTGTATGAGGGCAGAAAGAACACTCTCAGCTGTTTGTTTCAGAGGCATGGACATCGTGCTCTCGTCCCTGTGGAAGTTGAATGCACTTATTGTGAGCTGCTTTCAACCAGAGGCTGATCTGGAGAAATATTCATGGGCTGGCATGTAGACTATGAAGGGTGGCAGATGCTGATTTAATTGCAAACAATCACATATATCAATGTTAACTTGACAAAGATGTTCAAACTAAAACATTACATTATTTTGGCACATATCTGGCAAATGATGCAAAATATCTGAAGGTGGTATTAGAAATGAATAAATTGTTTTATTTACAATTTTGTTTTTAATTAATCTAAATTAAATCAGGGTTCCCACTCTTTTTAAGAAATCATTTTCCAGACAATATCCAGGAATGTGATTCACATTCAAACCCAGTTTTATTCCTCTTTCATGAAGTGTGTCAGGTTCATTACAGGTAGGTAGTCAGTGTTTCTGGGACAATCCACTCTTGGCTTTTCTCACCAAAGCAGATTTTTCCACTGCTGTCTCCAGCAAATTGACTACAGCTTACTACGGTTTTCCTCTAACTGTTAAATCAATGACTCGACGGTGGAAGGATCACTAAAAGTCTGTTCTACTCCATGTCTGGTGAACTCATCTTGAAGTATCAGCACACAGCTCATCCTGAGAACAGTTTGAGAGTTTCAAACAAAATACGCACCCAGATTTACGTATGAGATCTGAGGGGCTAACATACTGTAAAAATGTCCAGGACAATATAGATTATTTCCAGGATATTTGGTCAATTTATCCATTTCCAGTCTTTAAATTTCCAAGTATTCCAGGTTTTCCAGGGCCCATGGGAACCCTGTCCTGTAAAATTGTCTGTATTTGACACTAAATTGAGGTGGCAGCTGGAGTAACCCCTCTAGATCCGCCCCTGCACGGCTCACGAATACGTCGGAGCCATCGTTAATGTTATTAGTAACACCTGAGCTTTTCCTACCATGACAAGTCAAAATGTTGCCTGCGATAAAGAACTATTATACACAATTCATTCTTAATAAAACAGTATAAAATAAGTGATGCAGTTTGCAAATGTGAAACATAATGTGAATTTCAGATCTGCATAAAGACAAAAGGTGTTGTGGTTAAGGCTAAGAGCCTAGACTAGAGCAGAGTGGATTTTGATTGACATTTCACTATGACTGCTGTCAGAATTAACAGAGAACAATACTGACCTCTAGTGTTGTGCATGTTGCATTACAACAGTGTTCTCTAGTGACCTCGGTGCAGTCACTGCACACTGCCTTTTCTTGCCAGGACACCTCCCCACTAACAGTTCCTTGATTTATAACGCCACATGCTTTTGTATTTATATGTGTACAAGTCACAGAAACACAAACACTTTAGCTTAGCACTGTGACATTCCTTTCAACTGTAGCTGAGGCTATATGACAAATAAATACAGATATTATGACTTTAGACAAGGGACACAATGCAAAGGAAATCCCAAGGATTCCTCTTCACAAAAGTAAATTACAATCAGCAATTAGAAACAGACTCTGCAAAGGCATTTCAGTTAAAAGACAGGAAAATTAAATCGAAGATGGGAGAAGCAATGCGAAGACAGAATAAAAATGGGAGGCACTCACTCGCTCTGATCTTCCGTTTCCATCGATTGTTCTGTTTGGTGTTGGAGTGATCTACAGAGATGGGAGACGGAGACCAAACCACATTGAGACAGGCAGACTGAATGTTTCGGGAGCTTGGTCAAATGACCTGTTACAGGACAACAGCACAGAGACCAAATCCTCTACAGCAGTGGTCGTCTACCTCTTTGGTGTCACCCAAATTGATACACAGCAGGCCGCAGATCTGTATTTGCTGATGTACTGTCTCAGGGATCCCCGTCTGATTAAAGTAGTTATTGTATAACTGTCTGAACTGTAGATTGGCAGATTAACAGTGAAGAGTGTCAAACCTATGAACAGAGTAGTTGTTCTTATACATTCTCCCATTGGGCTAAACTTGAGCCAATGGAAGAAAAGTGAAATTAAAATATTCCCCATTCCTCCGGGGACCCCCATGGACCCCAGGCTAAGGACCACTGCTTTACATGTGTTTTTAGCAACATTTGCTACTGAGACCGAGGCTGATGGGATTATCATTGGTTCTGTAGGTATTTACAGAGTCTGGATAAACACATTTTGAGGTCTGTTGTCTGAGAAACAGACAATCAAATAAAAAAAAAAGATTTGAAGTTTTCTTCTTTTTAAGCTCTATAACCAAACAAACAGACAAGTTATTATGGTTCTGTATTTTTCATTAGTTTTTGTTTTCAATTCAGTTCAGTTCAGTTAGTTTCCACAGTCTGTTCTTTAGTGTCTGTTTAGTTTTTATTGTTTAAAAATGTTTAGTTTTTTATTATAATATGGGGGGTATTTATCAGGAAGATTTTAGCAATTCAGAATATATAATACAAATATTACAGTACAGTGCAATAGGGTCACTAGTTACAGTTCAGCCAGTTTAGGATTGTCCCTCAGGGAATATCATGTTTTCAAATAATAACAGAGGCCGAAAACCCATTTGTGCAGCACGGTATCTTTGTTAATAGGTCACTCAAACAGAAACTTTATTTACACAGTGCTGCATATTTTGGGAGCTTGAAAATGAGACCACATACTGTACTGTAGGAGCCACACTGACCTTTTGTACTGTCCTGGCTTTGGCCCTTGGCCCCTGTAATATCTTGTGCTGCTTTGACTATACAGGAAGCATCCAGAGCATCCACAGCCATCTCTGTGTCTTCAGGAACTCTTTTCTGACCTTTATCCAGCTGCTCTGAATGCAAGCTGGACGCCACTCCTGCAAATAAAAACAGTACGCGGGCATTAAGTTTTAACTAGCTTTCAATCCATGCTAACCTAAATTGCAGTAAAATGTACTAGCACGTAGCTCATATTCATGCATAATGTCTCACTGGGAGTCTACTTCAGAACAACAGGTTAGCAGTTAATGCACTTCCTGTGTAATACATCATCTAAAACAATTGTTGTTGGGTACCAAACAAATATGTTCCTGTCAGGCAGCAAACTTATCATAATATATTTTTCACACAGTAAAGCATTCAGTGAAAGTAATAATATAGTTTCTGCTTCAGAATGTGACACATGCGGTTTAAAAGGAAATTCCAGTCCAGTTTTTTTAAACTCCACAGTAAAGTATTCATCTCTATTTGCAACACAAGCACTGATAAAATACAGAACATGTTCAGAACAGTACTCACAGAGTAATGATGTCAAAAATGTACAGAATCTTTCCCAAGGTGATTCCACTTGGTCACAGCAAAGAAATGAAAATAACTTGATACAAGCTTTGTATGCAGTGTGTCTATCAGTCTTTAGATAACCAGAGTTTTTATTAATGGGATTGACTTATACCCACGTATGCTCTCACTGTTTGAGAATAAAACTTCACCAAATGATACATAGATACCCCACCCAGAGGAGAGGATAGAGCAGACCCACTAGCAGAACCCATGAGGAAGCTGACAGGAGGAACCGACAAGTGATTCACTTCAATTCTGTTCAGGTTGACTGCAGTGTATTTCAGTTAGGTTCAATTTACCTTAGCTCAACCGTATTTGATTATAGCTAAGCTTTTGCATTTAGCCTAATGTTTTTGTCCATTTTTAATGTTGCATTAAAATAACAATTGTCTTTTTTTGCAGCCGAAGCTTTTAAAGCTGATTAAGGGCCCACTCCTGTGTGCCTGTGAATCCGCTGCACACCTAAAGGTCGCTCAGCTTTTCATCAGATGTTACAAAGCACGTGTTATTTGTTGAGTTAACAAAAGCTGTGATTGTGAATATGATTTGTGTGGGTGATGTTACATCAACTTAGCACAGAGGAGCGGAAAGGATTTGCTTTGTTGAAGTTGTTAATTTTGTGGTTAAAAGATATGGAAATACTTTGAATATTATGGGATAACTGTTCAATCATGTCTGAGCTTTCTTGAAGTTGTTCGACTAAATGGCAATAAACCACGAAGCAAATTATTTATGTAATCAAACTGATTTATTTTTGAATATATTTACAGCTTATAAATATCATAAATTGAGCAATTTTACAATAATTATCAACGTGGAAAACAAATAACAAGGCTTGCAGGCTGCTTAAAGAGTTATTACGAACAAAACTAAGAAACATACAGAATACAGCCAACAAAGTGGATCTGGCAGTGTGCAAAAAGCTGCTATGGGCCTGCTGATCTCCTGAGCAAAGTCTAGGAGGTACATGAGAGAGATCTGGAGAGGGGCTCTGAGGGGGGGAGGCCTCCTTCTGAAACAGAGGGAACCACAGACAGACCACAGACACGTGGATACATTCGTTACTGTCAAACGGGCCTTACAAGAAGGGAGGCTGCTGCTTATGATCAGAGAGAAAAAGCAAATTCAGGGGCATTCAAATGGATGTTTGGTGTTAGGGGGTTTAGGGAGGAACACAGCACATCATGAGTGTTAGTGGGGTTAGCTCGGATTATGTGGGAACAAACGAACGGAACGATTGAGAAACGAACCAAATAAAAGGCGCTATGTGTGCATCATAAATCTGCTGGTTCTGATCCGTAGTGGCACTGAGAGCTGATCTTTCACGGAGACCTAAAACTTTCACACTTGGTCACAATAACAGTCTTAAAGCATAAGCCCAGCTAAATTATATAGCTACCTCATTATCAACAAATCCCATGAAAAGACCAAAACAAACCAAAATAAAACGAGTCGATCCCATTAACAAGTATTGCTAGTAGCCAAAGCCTGATGTAGCTTATTCCTCTGTGCCATAGAGCTCCATTGTTGTCCAACAACACCATATTCCATACTTTGCATCACAGCCAGGACCAGGAAGGACACTTGGCCAGAATGATACAAATCCCCCTAAAAAAAAAAAAACAAGACTACAAGTCTACAGTCGCAATAGCAGCTTTGTGAGGCTGTACAGCTGACGTCAGCATGCTAACATGCTGAAATTTATATATTATATAATAACATCTACCAAGTTCACCATGTTGGAACATTTGCTAATTAGCACAAAACACAAAGTACAGCCGAGTCATCAGGAGTCATCCTCTGGGAACCATGACTGTCTGGTTCCAAGCATCTAGTTAGTAGATGCTGAGATATTTCACTGCATAAGTGAAAAGTTTGAACTTCTGGTGGCACTACATAAAAAGTCAGAGGATCAATAAAGTATGTGGGTTTCATCCTCTGGGGACCTTGAACGTCTATATAAAATATCATGGCAGTCCATCTTATAGTTGCTGAGATATCTCAGTGTGGACAACATGACCGACATCGTCATCCCTAGAGGCACACCGCTAGCGTAGCCACAGGCAGGCTAGGGAAGTGAAGACATATTGTGTTGGTCTTTTCATGGAATTCGTTCACAATAACAAAATTAAAGAATAACGCTGGCTACATCTTGAGCATAATAATCCTTTTTCTGAGAAACACAAGAACAAAATGTATGAGTAGCATTATTTTTTTGTTGCAATTTAACCAAAGTATTACATTCAATTTGGAATTCTATTTAATATATCTTGATGCTACACACAACACCTTTACCCAATACTGCATGCCATAATCGGGATTCGTGCCGGTTTGTGATTGGTTAATGTGGGTTAGGTGGAAGGGGGCGGAGCTACAGAGACAGCCAATGCAAAAGCAACACGACAAGATCTTATGACCGAAGCCGGCCAATCGTCACCTTCCCCGCTGGCAGGAATCAGCCAATCAGAGGATGCAGCATTGGAAACTTGAAACAGACTGAACAAAATGAAGTGAACAAAAGAAAGAAAAATGAATTTGGAAAAAAAAGAAAATGAATGAAATGTGGGGAAAAAAGGAAAATGGGAGATGGAGGATGGAAAGGAAACAGAGTGCTGAGAATTACAAAGAAATGCACTGCTGGCAATAAAGTGATTACAGTAAGACATTACATTGAAATGTGAGAACTGTCCGTAAACAGGTCAGTGCCCCAACAGTGCATTTGAAGAATTGGCCCCTAATTCTGCACAATTAAAGATAATATTCAGAACGAAACTCGCCTCAGGCAGCACTTACAACACAGAATATGCAACAAAACAATTATCAAAAATTACAAAAGAAAAGAATTGCAAAACTATAAAGAAAAAAAAAAATAAAGTGAAATATTTTCACTGAGTCAGGAATATACAGTCTTCTGTGGATTCTGCTTGTTTAAAGCAAACATGTCCACCACTGCCTGGAACGATTATAGATAAGGCTCATTGTTTTGGTTCGGACTGATTTTCATCCAAAAATAAAAAGACATAGATCGAAACAGTTTGAAATTGTAAAAGTATTTATGGGTCTTCTTCTGACAGGCAGAACTCAAAAACCCTTTTGGTAGCACAAATCAAAATGAGGAAAAACTCAAATTAGTTACTGGGGGGGAAGAGGGGCGACCATAAACAATGAGCCCTAAATATATTTAGTCATAAATCAGTCATATATAAATCAGTCAATTATCTTCAACAAATTACATATCAAAGCGAAATATTAACACCTTCTACAAAAAATGTTATTCTAATGACAAAAGGGTTTCCTGAAAATTATGCTATGAAATAATAATAATACTGTTTTGGCATTTCCATTGCACATCTCTGTGGTGCAGAGTTAAGGTACAGCAGGCAATATGCAGAGTCGGTGTGATGTCAGAAACCATGTGCATTACTCTGACATCATTCTAGTTCACTGAAAGAACACCACACTGCCCAGATGGCTTCAAGGTTAGAGTCAGAGGGCATGTTCCAGGTTACTCTCCTCCTACAATTAAATGTCCTTGGTACATTATCAAAACTGATTCTTCCAGACACTTTAAGCCTGTCTGGAGTGCAGAATAGGAGTCTAATTGGTTGTTCTGAGCCGGACAAGATCACTGGATCAGAATCAAATGACTGGGACAGATTTCATGAAGGTGGAAAATGTTACAAACTGACCACCAAGATCTCAACATTGATCTCTGTTGCAGATCATCTGGTGACAGTTGTGTGATATGAATGTAATTATTATCACCTTCAGGGGATGGCTACAGTTTCAGAAGCCTGGAACAAGCCCATGTGAGTCAGAGATGCAAGACCAGGAGACCCTGACAGTCAACAAACACATACCAGGAGATCTGAGCTCATTTCCAACAGAGCCGGGTATTCACAAGGGCAGCCGCATTATATTTATGCATCACCCCTGAAGTCAGCTCAGCATGTACCATTTAATACTTCAATACACATTATAGTCAGAGTACCTGTATGACAAATTGCTCAAAATTGCTCATTTTGTTGTGCTGTCCACTGTAACTGCAGGCAAAACTCACACCAGGCACTGAATACAAACAGCAGAAGCTAATCAAGTGAAGCACTTTTATAGCAACTGTTTATGTTGCTTAATACACTTTTGACTCTGAAAAACACTAAACTAAAATGATAATGGACACTGGAAATATAAGAAATACAGTTTGGATTTGGTTGCACAATTATTACACTTATGAACCCCTGATTCATCCATTATGTGCAGTACAAGAGCACAAATCCATCTGGGCTCCTATCGGGTCACCTGGCCCAGACAAGCCCCTTGTTACTCGCCTTCCTATGTGAGCTGGTGGCCGATGGGCTGCTGCTGGGCCAGCTGGGGCTCCTGGCAGATCTGTCCCAGCACCTCGTGCATCATGCAGAGCAGAGGACAGCCCAGGCTCAGCAGCTCATACAGGGACACATAGTCATGTGAGTAGCTCCTGAAGTGGGACCCCACAGCTGTGACAGACTCACACACACTTCCAAACAGCCGTCGAGGCAACACACACACAGCCCGGCTAGCACGCCTCGGCCAGCTCAGGCCTCGCCTAAGCAAGGAAACCAGAGTACCTGGGGGCTGGATCTGGACGCTGCCCATCGCCGAGTAGGTCCCACCGTCCAACGACGAGGGTAAGACATGGTCTTCCTACATAAGTTTAAGATACACAGGAGGAAAATGATGAAATACAACATAACCTTCTATTACACAACAAAGGAACAAGGGAACTAATTAAGTCCTAGACTAAAAGATAAATTAAGCCAAGTCGAAAGAGTATTTGCAGGAAAGTTGCTAAGTACAACTATCGTAATCCTGCATACTTATTTTTACTCTTCTGTCACTTTTTTGGTGTGCAACTATTTCCACACTGTTGGAGCGTCGCACACAAAAACTACATCAAATTCATGTCTGAGATTATGACTCCCGTGCTATGATTCTTGGTAATGATCTGATGTTTTCACATAAATAGCTGCATTGGATTTCCCCAATATCTGCTGATCCTCCATATTGTATCCAATTCTCACCAAACTGGGTACATACTATATTTGCCAATATTTACATTTGTACATAATTTGATTTATTGATTTGATTTATTTTTATGTCATGCACACAAGGGGCCCAACCCTCATGGGCTTACTAGACACCAAAAACAATACAGTTGCAGTGAGTCAACATTTGATTCCATCACAAAATTTACATTATATACAGCTCGGTCTTGAACAAGTGGCTTTTCTGCCTGACTAGGCTTCCGTCATTTTGAATTCAACTCAAAACATGAATTTGAATAACCATGATTCTGTGATCATTAAAGAAATCATACTTGACACACATATTCAAACAAGTCACCAATAGCGCCACCAAGTGTTTTAGTCTTACAGAATGAAACTTGTGAGCCGTGGGGCAAAGAGGAAGCATTATTAAGGATTCAGTTTCAGTTTGTGGATTGGTTTCTAGGACAATAACATACCTAGCATAGCATATAGCTTAGTCCCATTTGCACCTCAAGAAATTTGCCAACATTTCTTTTTTGCTTCAGCTCCTCAGCGGGCAGCAAACACACCTAAAATTTATTTCTAGCTAGTTTTTTTATGTAACCACTGCTGTCTTCCTTACCATTCTCCTTCTGAACCTCCCCACGTGACTGCTGGACTGACGCTGGGCATAATGCATCTTGCAGTAGAACTTTGCTGTAAAGAAGCACACAAAAATCACAAATCCACTCTTATAAATAATAACTAATCTCCTTAAACTGACACATTGACACTTAACATTTCCAAGAATTGAATGATTCATCTAAACCTCTGAAAAACTAGAAAATAAAGTGAGACATCATCCATATAATATTTTTGTGTAAGATGTTGTCAAACAACATCTGCAGAACATAAACACCTATATGTTTTAAAGTCACTCTCTGGTGAAAGCATCCATAGTTACTATGAATTAAGCGTACCCTCCTGCGAGTCGAAGGTGTGCCCTCCCAGACGGAGGGTGCAGTTGCAGACATCACATCGGAAACACTCGCGGTGGAAGAAGTAGCCCTCTGCGCTCAGTCTTTCCATCACGTACACCCGCTTGGTGCAGAAGTGGCAGATATCACTGCCGCCAAGCCCGGGAGGGAGGTCCTTACGTACCACACACTGAGAGGAAGAAGACCAGGACAAGTTTATATAAATGTTACATGCGGCCTTCGAGATAAGTCTTTTAGAGTTGTTGATTATTTTCGAGAGATGCCTGCAAAAACGGTTGTGTTCCAGCAGTGACATGGTGAACTGTTAAAAGCAGTTGTACCCGTCATAGAAAATGTTTGGTTGCAATACAATCCGTGAAGAATGACAAGAAATATTATTTTTAAATGATTGAATGTGAATTCTATTAATGTGAAAAAAGTGGTGTTTCCAGTTGAATTACAGCAAAAACAACAGGCTTGCCGGTGTACCATAAAGCAAATATGTAAATGTTTTCAATGTTATGTTACTCTTGTGTCTGTAATAATTCCAGGGCATAACTCTTTTGTACAGAGCTAAGGTAGCCGTTTTCCCGTTTCCAGTCTTAATGCTAAGCTAAGCTAATCATTTGCTGGCTGCAACTTCATATTTACGGTACAGACGTAAGGGGTATCAATCTTCCCATCTAACCCTCGGCAAGAAAGCAAATAGCATAGATATAAAAAATGTATTGGCAAATTTAATCTATTCATTTAGGCCACAAGCCTTAAGTCCACTCCCAAAGTCTAAATGTAGAATTAACAATATCAAAATCTTATGTCAGCAAGTAAAATGAAGAAAACCGACTCGAAAATTCTGTATGTGCAATAAACCTCAATATCTCAAAGGTGGAATTTGAATACGACTAAATGCTAAGACTGCTAGTTTACTTTTACTTAAATGAAGCCACTTTTTAGGTTATCACCATCCAATGTCATGTCACTAGAACCCAACAATAATGTAAATTCTCTTCAGAGATCAAGCAAAATTGTGACAGGCATTAGACTCCAGTTCAAATGATGTGATTACATCCACAACGCTACAGTGAGCATCAAGCTAATCATCATCTAGTCTCTTCCAGCTACACTGTAGCTAACAAAGCTTTTTCAAACCGGCAGGCAGTTGAAGGCCAAACAGCAGTTAAACGTGACTTTAAGCTGATAATGCCTGCATGCAAATGTATATGAATACAAGCTATATAATATATATGCATATGCAGTCAGTCCTCAGAAGCTTTATTTCATGTCTCTGTGGTGTGAAACCATCTAGCACTGTTGCAAACATACTAGCGGCTCTTTTGGTTTGCCCTCATGAAGACAAAGCAGAACCCAATTACCCCTTTAGCCTTAGGAGCCTTCCGTGGCCAGGGAACTAGAGCCTGAAAAAGGCAGATTATCTGCACAAAAACAATCTGTTTTTCTTTTGTGCTTTAAATCTTAAAGTCATATAGTTGAAATCAACACACTCCGTAATGACACCTCTTTAATAATGCTGTTAGTTTAAGATGTAAACTGTATTAAAATTCCATTAAATCCATGAAATCTGGGTTAGATTTGTGTCTGCAACATCCACATGCAGCTTACCGGTGTGGCATTGGGCCTGTGGTCTGTCTCATAGAGGACGGCCAGTATCTGAGCTTTAGCATCTATGGCTGATGATACCTTCCCAACTGTACGCTAATGTTAACATCAGGGAAACACAGGCACAGACGGTTGGAAGGGAGGAAAAGGAAGGAAGTGGAAAGCACAGACAGGAGTTAGGAAGGAGACAGGAAGGAGACAGGTGAAAAAGCATTTATGCAACTGCATTCAAACTGAGGTATTGACTAGTACCTCTTTAATGTAACTAGGAGCTCCAGTTGGACAACTCTCAGAGCGAACAATTGACTTTTGAGTGATTCTTCTAGGGGTCTGAAGAGCGCAGCTCCCTTTGCACTAAATGAACACCAGAATGAAGATCACTTGTACAATGATACACAGTTCATATACTGTATGTCAGAGACAAAAATGTCTAAGAATCCTTGCATGCTTAATTCTTCGCTATGGGTTTTCTGTGTTTAATCTAACTCAACCCTTTTCCTCAGGTAGAATCAGAAATATGTGAATACAATCAAAATTCGAAATGTGATGTTTCTGCATGGATAATCTGAGCTGTGATTATATTAATGTGACATTAAGACATCAAATTGAGTTTTAACAGCCAAATGAAACTTCTATTCTAGCAACACTACATACCAGAATTTCAACCTTTTACATCCCATTGGTATCAGAAACTCAGAACAGAAATGAGTCTGTAGCCTTGGGTTAGAGCAGAGCCAGTGTCTTCGGACACAGGAATAATGCATATGAATTCTGAAGTTTAAGGTTGGCTGTATAAAATTCTGGAGTTATTTGGTTAGTTTGATGTCTTAAAGTTAGCCAACGTTGTCTCAAAAGCCCAGAAAAGAAGGTAAGACGTTTTTTGTTTTTTTTTAAATTAGTCCCAATTTAATTAGTCCTAATCTTGTCCACAGACAAGAACGTCCAAGTAATTAGTATACTTTTAAGGATCATTTGAAAAAAAGGCCTATTTGTATGCAAGACACAATAACAAAATTTTTTATTTTTAATTTTTCGTAATTATGATCTTAAAATTGGTAAAAAAAAAAATCTCCTTTAAGAAAGCACTAATTTGGGAATATTTTCCAGTAGGATACTTTCACTTGAGATCTGCAGGTTTTTAGTGCTGGACTAGCTGGCTGTCTTCAGGCAGGCTACTGATACGCACGAGGAAACTGTTACCTTCATGTGATCATTGTCAGCTAATTTCCTATCATCAAATGTCTCCTGAGCAGTTTTGTGGACCTTCTCCTGCTCACGCTCATTGTTATCCTTGTGCAGTGAAGAGACTGGATGAGAAGATGAGCTGCTGTGTCCATTTACACAGTTAGTGTCAGAGAAAGCAGAGGAGAACGTGTGGTTCTCATCAGAGCAAGCTGAAGGAAGGGCAGCAGGTGTTTTGTTGTTGCGTGTGAAGGAATCAACATGAAGAGAAGAGATTTGATCTGTTTTTTCAGAGTCAGTGTAAGAGGCGGGAGTAGAGGGGTCTTTCTGTATCCTGTCCTTGTGTCCAGCAGCGTACAGGGGGACAGAGGAGAAACCAGCCTGGGCGGTGGGGTCAGGGACAGGGTGGACTACAGGGTAGACAGTTGAGCCTTTAGATACAGAGGCAGAAGGAGAAGGAGGAGGAGGAGGGGACAAGGAAGGAGGGGAAGAGGTAGAACGTTCCACCTACAGAAGAAGAGTCAAACAGAAATTAAAGACTGAGCAGAACAGAAGCATGAGACTGGATGGAAAATATCTTCACCAAATCAAAAGCTGCCTGAAGAGAATTTCACAGAGACAAGTCAAGGAGATTGTAGAAATGTTCCCTTTTGAAGCAAAAGCAAACTAATTTAAAGTTAATCAAAAAATGTGTTAGTGAATGCTGACAGATACAATTAAAGGCCCTGAAATCCTATTTTATCAATTTAGTTCCTTCTTATGTCTGCTAGAGTTCTACAAGTTTTCTATCTAAATATTCTCTATCTAGAGTTATTACAGTTTTGGCTATTTCAGATGAGATATTTCTGTCTTTGTCAAAGTTTCTTGACACATATTTCAATTTTTTTTTCCAACATTCAACTATTGCTTATTCATTGATGAAAACGTACTGTAATATGTTTCCAGGGCTTTTATTCGCCACCAACATCATGCAAATTGCCCTTTAACCAATATTCAAAACCTATAATATCTACAAGCTCAAATTCGCCATGTATGGAATACCTAAGCAGCAAGTGAGAAAAAAAGTGGTTAAGTCTAAACTGTTTGGTTTAGTGTTCCCAGGATAATATTTTCTTTCATCAAACAGGTGGCAAATATTGTTTGCCATGGGAAAAGGTAAAAGATTTTGGCTGGTGTTTTTGTTTTTGTCAGGATAATTTTATTGTTGTAATAATCATTTTGGCCCCTAGAGGCTAATGTGCACCACTGCTCTAAGTTCTAAATAAGAGTAAAAGTATAGTTTACAATTTTTTGAAGACAAAAGATTTTTGTCTGCTCTTAACTCATAAATACGGGAGGGAAAACAATTACGTTTAAAACAGCTTTTTGTTCATTCTCCCTAGCCTCTCAGGGCTTCCGTAGCCTGGTCAAATCCTGACACTAAAATTTGTGGAAATGTGGAATTCAGACCTGAACCTCCAGGATACCAGTTTAATCAATATGATTATATTATATAATAAACCTGAAGACTCTGACCCACCAAAGAAAACAGCAGCTCAGCAACTGCCATATACTCAAACTGTAAATGTCTAAGATGCACATGGTTATCATGAACATGCAACTAAATGTTATTAGTCGAGCAATATGGTTGGTGCAATACACAACCTGTGACTCAGGAAGAGGAGAACGAGGAGCAGGGGGAGGTTTGTTGGACCCAGGAAACAGAGAGGAAAGGAGGACAGCTCTCTCCTTTATACTCCTCCCAGTAAACTCTCTAGTAGACAGTCTCTGCATGGACAGCAGGTGGTGGCGGAAATTGTAACAGAGCATGTAAAAATTATATTTTTTTTATAAAAGTTGTGGTGGAAAATATTGTGCAGAACTGGCATTCACCTGCTGCATTGACCCCTCTGACCTCTCAGAGGAGTGATCAATATCTGAAGCAGAGAAATGACTGGTTGACATGTCAGGAGAGGTGCGTCCTGGGTAGTAATGTTCAGTAACATTAGGGCTCCGTGAGCGCGGAGAACTTAGTGGACTCTTAGAGTGCGAGGGTGAAGGAGAGCGACTGAAGCCGCTCTGAGGGGGAGGCGATTTGGGGGAATAGAGGAAACTGGTTTGCTGAGCCACCTCACTGGGATTCTCCAGTAAGCGAAGGTAGATGGAAGGCTGAAAACAAGAAGAAGAGACGAGGAGGAGCAAGAGGAAACAAGAGTGTATGGGGTTTGTAGTAGTTCCACAAATGTTACACATTTATGGCGTTCTTATTTGTAATGTGTAAATGAAACCCATCCAATCACATTCAGTGGTCAGAGGGAGGCGTACCTGCCACTTGGGGCGAGAGGGAGGCAGAAGAGGAGGAGGGGGGACGTCCTTGGGCTTTGCAAAGCGGGGATTATCTCTCTCCTCCTCATCCTCATCCTCCTCCTCCTCTGAGAGAGGAAGTGGGGTGGTGGAAGGAGACAGAGGAGGAGAAAGGGATGGATCGGATGGGTCCTCATCAGGCTGACGTAAGGAGGAAAGGAAAGGAAATAGGAAAAGGAAAGGAAAAAGGAAAGGAGAAAGGAAAGGAGAAAGGAAAGGAGAAGGGAAAGAAAAGAAAGGGAAATTTTCAAGGAGAGGAAATGTCTCAGATGATCCAAATATCATTTTCACATGCTTTGGAAATAAAATACAGTATTAACAAGTTGGCAACAGAATACGTGTCATAGAGTGGCAGTAAATTAGTAATATTAAATACTAGTTGTGTATGTGCAGAAGCCTTCACTTAACGCCTCAACGATACTACGGAGGGGGACCCAGTTGTTCATAGAAGAGGTGGGCAATTGGGGTGAGTACAAATAGTAATATTGATATGTGGTGACAGCACAAAAGTCTGTATCGAAGCACAAATCATCATGTCTACGGCTGAAAGGCTTTCAATTAGAGCCGCTGCAGAGCAGAGTTTCCGGGGTCGAGAAGAAATCTGGTGTTTGACCCCGCTGCTTTGGGAATGAATATTTGCATTTTGCATTGGGAAAAGAAAGGTCGCAAATACATAGTTTTTTTCTCCAAAGGAGAGGCTGCAAATTTTAAGTTCTGATTTCATCAGATCGGCTGGCTGTGAAACCGGGATGCCACAAGTCACTCTTGCCCCACCCGTGGCTCTATTGTCGTCCTTGCATCTTCCGCCTTTAGACTCACCATTCGCCCACTGTTAGTTGAAAGCTCCTTCAAAATACCCCTTCAAGTTTCTCGGAGACCGGATCCAGCCACATTTCGTCTTGTGGCTTTATCGATTTAGGGGAACAAGGGATTTCGCCAAAAAAAACACAGACTCCTTGGCAACATGGCAGAGTTGCCACTCATTGCGACCACGTATTAACCATGGCTATTAATATACTCAGAAAAACAGGAACAGCCCTACGGCTCAACTCCGGTTTCGTGTCCCGACACCGGATCACCCCTGCCCATTATGCTGTGTCTGAGACACAGTCAAAGTGTTATTTTGTACCTCGTGCTGCTATCATATTAGTTAAGAAAGAGACACAGGAGTCATTAGTTTAAGCCATAATTGCCGTCCGTATAGAGAGACAATTGAACCTTGTAGGTCCAGAATACACATGCTTTATTTCACTTTTTAGTCTCCAATTACTAGTTATATACTTAAATTCGTAATGGTGCAGCTAATCTTGACGCCAACAATCGTTCAGAAAACTCACTTTACTTTAAAGGCTTTACACTAACGATTCATACATTATAGGCAATATTAATCTATCCAAAATGTACAATAACCAATAACATATAACTTTTCTACGAAGCATCATTAAAGGTAAACATTTTTTCTTTATCTCCCAATGCTGCTACGTACTGTAACTAAATGAGATACTGGAATCCCTGTGAGATTGTACTTATTGCATTTATTTGGTACTTCAATTGGGGCACAGTCTAGACTAGTTTCTCTTTATCAGCAGCCTGTTACATAGACCTATACCCTCAGTATTGCAATTGTGTACCTGCTAACTACCTGTAATAAAGATAATAAAACCATTGCTTAGCTCACTTTCAGAATGTTACTCACACATAACCAAACCATAAACGCTCAACGTCATCTCTAGCCAGAGCAAATTCATCTGCGTGTTGTGTGATCCGTATCCAGGGTGAACATAAGTCAGTCAGTTAATCTAGAAGCTAATAATACCCAGTTGCACATAATAGACTGAATTCTACTCACCCATATCAAAGTGTTTTCTAACTTCACATTAGATAAGCATTTCATCCTTCATCATAAAGAGCTACTTGGTTTAGTAAGTTAATAATATGAAATCGTGTGTGGCTAATACCCTTTCCACATGAGGCCCTTCCTCCTATATTGACACCTAAAAAAAATACAACTATTTGATCTGTCTGGACCTGCATACTGTATGTTGGATTGATTTTCTAGGCTACATTCCCATGTTTTGTATACTAGATTCCTGTTTGGATGTTGCTTGGGGCGGGCACCTGCCACACTTGGTTAATTTAAACTGTCATTTACTTTAATGTTTCAGTGATACTCGATGCAGGTGAGATGACTTTCCAGTGGATGTCGGTGACAATGCGGGAATAAATATGTATATTTATGTATGTATGTATCTGACGCTCACAGCAGCAGCCCGTGGCACCATGCATACCTACTGATAATTCTTACAAAAACACTCTTATACTCACACTCCTTATAACAGTTTTGTGAGGAAGCCGAACGCTTTCAGAATATTACGCTCAGCCAAACATATCAATTGCTTACTGACAGCAGGTTATATAGATTAAATCCTCTCTCTCATATCCTCTCACACACTCAACAGACACACACTACATACAACAGACATAACTATCATCACACAGATAAAGCCACCTAGCGTGTGCTTGTTGCTGTCGGAGTGTCAAGTTAACTGAAAGCGAACGCTGAAATAGGTACGCACAAGTAGATTGTTCTTTGTGGTGTAATTCACTTCACTGGTCTGAGTGGAAATGACTCATCATTACGAAAAATTTCATAGAATACTTCATATGCCACGCTCAACTACTGGTTCGCCAGGCACAAAGCGGCAAAACTGCTTGTACAAACTCATTAATAAACTTTAGATGTTTATAATGGTAGTGTGTTAACATAGTTCTCTTTATCTTGAAAGAATGTTCCCACACTGCAAAACTAACTATTTATTAATAAAGAATTACACTTCAACCTCATACTCAGTAGAATTAGTAGCGTCTTAATGTCCTAGCCGGGCCAGACTGAACGCAAATAAACTCAATCATACTACTATTTAATGTCCCTATGTTGTGTACTGTAGTTGATGGTCTTAAAAGTATTATTTAATCTAAGACTTTTAAACGTAAACCTGCATAAAACAACCGTAAGGAAGTGTAACTTTAAAGGTTAACTCCTCCCATTTTTCATTTAGAAGATACTCCAAGAGTACAGGTAAATCAGGGCGACACTTGCGGTCTGTAGCTTCGCTCCGTCCAAGGTGGCTGCACTGACCCATGTATTGGCATTAATTTTATAACTTCAGTTAAGTAAATGCAGCGCGTCTGATACCGAGGTGTGTCCACAATTTGGAGGACTTGAATCGCAAGTTATATTTATTCTCATTCATGAGACGAATATAAAAATAAGTTTTATATTCGACTATGTACATGTATGTGCCTTTAATGAGCTGATGAGTCAGCTCAAGGCACTCTAGAGTCAGCTGATTCGTTCTGGTGAGTGTGCAAACTATCTACAGTGTGCAAACAACTCGTTGCAGTTTGCATAGAGAACAAGTGGTCACCAATCAGGATGGAATGATACACTGAAATTAGAAGGAGTACAACAACAGAGGAATACAATCCATGATGTTGTACTGAAGTAATGTAAAAGAATCGATGAATCAAGATGGGGGAGGTCTCATTGGTGCGTCAAAAAAAAGTTAAGTTCACCAAACATGTTAGAGGGATACACTGAGAGTGTGCGGTTCACACCAACAGGAGGATAGAGCTCTCCCTCTCGTGAGGTGGTATCAAGGCTATACGTCGTGTGAGGGACTTGACCCACGTGAGCATGATTTACTCGCGTTGCTGTGCGTGCATACTCAATCTATTAGCCGAGTTGAGGAACTGTATGCTCCTTCAAAACTTGGCAAGCCCAAGACTGAGGTTGTGCCTAATGAGTAGTGGTCACCAACAGAGGATATCACTGAGATGTTATCTGAGGGGAAGTGGGTCACACCTAATCGCAGATGGTTCTCGCAGTGTATCAGCTAGTCCCGTCTTCACTTCACCATGCACAGAGGTATGCCGATTGATCAACGTTTGGTCATCCGTGAACACTGAGGAGCAAAACTCAGCATGCTTCGAGAATGTGCGGTCAGCGAGACAACAGGAGGAGTAGCGCGCGCGCATGGATGACGAGTGTGCCATCCAGAGAAAGAGGGAGAGGGATTCAACGCAGGAGAGTGGAGTGGGAATGAGTCATCATATCAGAGGTAATCTAGAAGACTGTATGACGATCTCTCGAACAAGAGTAAGTCTCATGAGATTACAACTGCTGAGACTTTATCTCTGTAGAGTTGCCGTCATACTCAATATAAGACGGTAGTTGGCAGATCTGAGAGTGGTCACCCATCAGAGGATACACTGTGAGTGGTCACAAGATGAGGCTGGGTCACTGTGATGAGAACTTTACTTACTGTGATAGGTCACAACAGAGGAGTCACTGAGATTGGTCACCGTAGAGAGATGTGCTCACTACTGAGTGTTGAGCCGTCTTATGTATCAGTCGGTCAGAAATCCGGTGTCTTCCAGTTCTTGTCCAGGTCTGTGAGCAGTAAGACAACAGGGCGAGATTAACCAGCTGATATCACGCGCTTCAGACTTTGAATTGTGTAAGTTCAGTGTGTTCAATGAACAATGAGGCACTAAGATTGTATAATTTAGTTGTAAAGGTTCTATTAATGTTAATGTGAAGTGATGTGCGACATTACTGAATTCCCTCTAATCGCCGTGCTGATTGACGGCTTTTTGTGTTCTAGATGGATTTAGATAGGCCGTGCATCACGCATTTAGCAAACAGTGCCCTTGATCTTTTCCCTTTTGGGGTTTTTTTTTGGGTTTTTAAGCTTTAACTCATCTAATCAGAACCGACTCTTTCGACCTCGACCTGTGAAACTATGTTGC